CCTGGAACCCCGTGTCCTCCCCGCCAAACAGAGAGGACGAACCTTCCTCCAGGGCCGGACAGACTTTGTCCAATCCCGACTCCCAGCGCCCCCGCGTGACCGTGTGCGGCTCGTCCCCTCCCCAGACTCTGACAGTCCCCCCTCAGCCCTTCACACGCCCGGACCCAAAACCCTTGCCCTTCCGTGGATGGTGCCCGGTACACGCGAAGACGCTCCCACGCAGTGCGCCCCTGGCCTTTGTGCGCGCCGGTCCGGTGGCCTCCGGGGCAGCGCCAGTCCCGCAGGCGCCCCACGGGACGCTCGCCCCGTGGTCCAGCCCCGCTCTGCCTGCGGCATCCCGCGTCCCAACCCGGGGTGAAGCAGGAGGAGCCGGTGCCTGTGTTCTTGTCCGCTCTCACCCAGAGACTGCAGAGTAGACCAGCTCTTCTGCGCCAAGAACGGGGGTTGGGGCAGTGTGTTTCCGTGGGGAGGTGTGACACCCTGGACAGAAGGGAAACATCGGTATCACTTTTTTTGTTGTTGTTCAAACAACGTTGGTATTAAAATAATCCAAACCCATACCACTGTTCCTTAATAAGAGGTACGCAGAAAAGACTGAAAATGGAATGGAATCCAGTGTTTTATTAAGAGAATACCACGATCAGGTAGGTCTTTGTTCTGGCGTTCAATAAGTTCTTATGTTCATCGCTCTCCCTATACTTCTGGAATTCCAGAAAATACACAAAGGCAAAATAATTATCTATAGTCTCACCAAGCAGAGATAACCATTGCTGCCGTCTGGTGCACACACGTACCCACACTCACACACACGTTTTTAAATGCATTTTTATGGAGGGTTTGTTTTTTTTTTGCAAAAGTGATCACACTGTAATTGATGCATTTTTGTCTTAACAAAATAGCAGTACCATTCCAAATACATACTTCACGGCAGTGGTTTCAAAACTAACAGTTTAGAAAACAGCACAAAACTATGTAGGTGCTTTACGGGTCAAATGTTTGTCTCTCTTCTTCTGTTCCCCCAATTCGTGTGTTGAAACCCCAACCCCAGTGTAGCTGTATTTGGGGAAAGGAAGTAATTAAATGAGATTGTAAAGGTGGGGCCCTAATGCTTTAGGATCAGTGTTCTTCTGAGCACATGTGCCAGAGGGCTCGCTCTCTCGGAAGGTGAAAGATCCAGGTGAGGATTCAGGAAGAAGTCACTTTATACAACCGGAGCCAGGAAGAGTCTCCCCCCAAACCACCTGCTGGTCCTTGAGCTGGGACTTCCTGCTCTCAGAACTATGAGAATATCAATTTCTGGTGTTTAAGCCACCCAGTCTATGATGTTTTGTTACAGCAGCCCAAGACCAATCCATTAGCATACAGTATGTACAGAATGAGGCTTTGTTCTAAGTGCAGTCCATATTTTAACTGAGTTAGTCCTCATAACAACCAACCCCTTGAGGTACTATTATTACCTGCAGTCCCAGGTAAGAAAACTGGGACTTGAAGAAGTTAAGTAACTTGCCCTACATTACCCAACTTGCAAGTGGTAAGTCCCGGCAGGCCAAAAATATCTGCAACCCCAAAATACAGAATTAAATAGTGTAAATGTTTATATATAAATGGTATATAAATGGTATTCTAGGTGGTGGTACATGGATGTTCAATGTAAAATTCTTTCAACTTTTCTGTATGTTTAAATATTTTCATAATATTGAAAAAGTAAAACTAAAAATAAATGAGAATTATGTAAGACATTATGAATAAGTTACTGATTTAAATAGAGACTAGTGACATACACTATATTCATGGATTGAAATAGAACATTCTAAGTATGTTACCTTCCTCCACTTTAATACTCCCCAATCAAAATCTCAGCTTTTCTTTTTACTAAGTTAGATGAGTCTACAGTGTTCCAGGATGGCCCAGTAAAAATTTCCAACAATGATGAAGTCAGAATTGCCCTACCAATAAGATATTATCTTGTATTACAGAGGCACAAAAATAAAAATAAAATGTGCCAAAATATACGCATAAATTAGTGAAATGAAATTGGAAACCCACAAACAGATTTGAGAATTTAAATTTAATATTTCATAAAAGTGACATTTCAGCCCTGGGTCGTATAGCTCAGTGGACTGAGCATGGGCCTGTGAAGCAAAGGGTCACTGGTTCGATTCTTAGACAGGGCACATGCCTGGGTTGCAGGCCTGGTCCCCAGTAGGGGGCACATGAGAGGCAACCACACATTGATGTTTCTCTCTCACTCTTTCTCCTTCTCTTCCCCTCTCTCTAAAAATAAATAAATAAAATATATTTTTAAAAAGTGACATTTCAAATTAGCGGGGTAATGTGGGATTATTCGGTAAGGGACATTAGGACAACTGGATAGCTACTTGAGACCTGAGTAGACCCCTCACCAGAAAAGATGCACAGATGACAAGTGAACATACAACAAGATGTTCAACATTACACATTAGGGAACTGGACACTAAAACAACAATGAAACACCACTACGTACCTCTCAGGATGGCCAAGATCCAGGACACTGACAACACCAAGTGCTCGCAAGGGTGTGCGGCAGTGGGAACTCTCATTCATTGCTTGTGCAGTGGAAAATGGTGCAGGCACTATGGCGGACAGTTTGGCCATTTCTTACAAAACGAAACATACTCAGCATATAATCCAGCAGTCACGCTGCTTGGTATGTACCCAAATGAACTGGAAATTTATGTCCACACAAAAAAAACGCACAAAAATGTTTATGGTAACTTTATTTATAATTGCCAGAACTTGGAAGCAACAAAAATGTCCTCCAGTAAGTGAGTAGGTAAATAAACTGTGGCCCATCCAGACAACAGAATACCACACAGTTGTAAAAAGAAATGAGCTATCAAGCCATGAAAAGATTTGGAGGGAACTTAAATGTGTATTATTAAGGGAAATAGCCCATTTGAAAAGGCTACATACAGTATGATTTCAACTATATGACATTTTTTAAAAAGCACAAATATGGAGACAGTAAAAAAAAAAAAAAAAGAAAACACCTGAGGTCACCAATTGGGAGGGAGAGACATAGGCAGACCACACAAGATTTTTAAGATGGTGAAACTGTTATGTGTGATACTGTGATGTCGCCGTACATTTGTCAACACCCATAAAATGTATGTCAAGAATGAACCCTAATGTAAACTAGGGATTTGTGGTGATAATGATGAGTCATCGTAGGTCCATGAATGTGGCAAATGCACCGACCACGCTGGTGCAAGGTCAGAGGGGAGGAGGTTGGGGTTGGGAGGCAAGGGGTACATTTTGTGGCTAGCCTAAAACTGATCTAAAATATATAGTAATTCTTAAGAAAGTCTTTAGCACAAGACTTTTCAGAGCCATCACTATTGGGATATTGTATTCCAGACGTACAAGAAGAATAGAACACGCAGTCTTCCCAAACCATGTCAGCGCTGACGTGGACACCTTTGAACATCCCGCGCACCACTCCATTCTCCTCTGTCCCGACTACCGTGGCCTTCGCTCAGCTTGTATCCTTCCTCTGGTCCCCTAGACCTGGTCTTGTTTCCTCAAATACATTGTTCTCAGTAGCTGCCGACACCTCGCATCCGACCACGTCCCTCCACTGCCTGCACCACTTTAAGCTGAACTTCCCGGGCTACAGGAACCCCCTGTGTGATCTGGCCCAACCCCACCTCAGTCTTTCCTCTCACCACACCCTGACTCACATTCCTTAGAAACATCGGACTGCTGTGCTTCCCCAAATGTTCTGTGCCCGTGTAGGACTCTGTCTTTTCACATGGTGCCATCTGTGTGGAACACTCTTCTGCCCACCCGACCCCGCCCACTGGTTAATTACCACCTATCCTGCAAGTCTGCTGCCTTAGGAGACTGTGAACTTCTTAGGAGTAGGGACTGTCAAATTCACTTTTTCTTTTCTTTCCAAATTCTAAAAGCTTATGGGCCCCAAGGCTCGGTCCTCTTCTCATTGGGCTCTCAGATGACAGCATCCAGTCTCAGGGCTTTACATGCCATCAGTACCCTAGTGGCTCCCAGACCTGCACCTCTAGCCACGCAATTCCCAGTGCAGACATTTACCCTTGTTCTGCTCTTCCCAGATCCCGACACAACTGGCTGCTTACTCAGGCCTTAGTTCAAATGTCACCTCCTCCTGATGTCTCCATATAATGGTTGCATGCCCACTTCCCCCCCTTAACCTGCCTTACCTCGTATTATTACTGTTTGAAATAAAATAATTTATTTACTTGTTCATTGTCCACCTCTTTTACTGCAAGCATGAGAGACTGGGGAGTTCTGACTCATTGCTTTATTCCAGAGCCTAAGACAACAGTGTGTGGCATGTGGTAAACACTAACAGTTGAATGAATTCATGCCTAACATAGGTCTGGAGCATATTCCCCACTAACATTTGAGTGCTGTGTGCCCAACGCTGCGCTGTGAGCACCACAGGAACCACGTCATTTGACCCTCAGTGTTGCCCTTTAGCCCCGTCTCACACTGGGACATGGAATTTAGCAGTCGGCCCAGGTCACAGACTAGGTAGGGATATGAATATTAGCAGCCTGATCCAGAGTTCACTTTCCTAGCCGCTGTGCTCACCTCTCACATCTGGAAGTGAAGGAAGGAAGGAAGGAAGGAAGGAAGGAAGGGAGGGAGGGAGGGAGGGAGGGAGAGGGAGGAGAAGGGAGGAGGGAGGGAGGGAGGGAGGGCCACCAAGGAAGGAGGGAAGATGGTGGGTGAGAGCAGGGGGTGGTGCTTCCAGTTCTGATGTTCTGTGACACCAGCGGGTGCAGTTTTCCACGGTCTCCAAGCTCAGTCTCTAGGCACCACTGGATAAAGGTCCCCTTTCCAGCTGTCTGGGCCTGGGCCTGGGCCTGGCCCTTGGGTTTGCCCATACAGAATTTTTTTAACTACAGGGAACTGCCCCCAAAAGCAGAAAATGTGGGTGAACTCACCCTCCTCCAAGAGTGACACACAGTGACAGCAAGCAGTCCTTCCCTGCAATATTTATTAAGGAATTTACACATACACAGGAGGAAGGCAACCAGGAATTGTGGTTCCCATGAATGAAATCTTTGAAGCAAAGTTTTCTTGTTTTAATTTTCAAGTGGGGTGAAGAGTGACTGAGAGGAAAGCTGTCCAGGCTCTCTGCCTCATACACCTGGAGCAGGTGGGGAAACGGGGCAGCCAGGGACTCACAGGTATGAAAGAGGGATTGGCAGGTTGGGGGAGGGGAAAGGAGGAAGAGAGCCATCAGTGAGATTACATTTTTTTTTTAAACTGTAAGAAAAACTGGCAACAGTCTCAGGCTGTTGATAAATTGTTTCCTCTCTGTTGTAAACCTAAACCTGAAAAAACAAAAACAAAAATACCCAGAGCAGATGGGGAGAGAGTGGGAGGCGGAACACACACACACACACACGCACGCACGCACACGCAGTGCACATGTTAAGCTCTGCGTTCCCTCTGGTGGGGCTGGATCTCCAGCCGCGGAGCCGGATCCTACCACAGGCAAGATGGAGGCAGGGACAGGGCTGTGTGTTTTTGTGGGGCCTTCCCGGAGTCTTTGGTGCTAATAAAGGCTGACTGAAGCAGCGAGTCCCGACACCTCAGATCCAGAAAGCAGTTCCAAGTTTAGGAGGGTAACACTTTTGCTCATCCTCACAGACGGGGGTTCGTCTCTCCCCAGAGCTAGGCCCAACCTGATCTAAGGCCCAAGAAGTATTAAATTGGATTTCAGTACATTCTTAATTCCCATAAATCATGGGAGCATGATGCTTCCCGCTTTAACCAATAATTTAAACATGTAGAAATAGTTTATTAACACACATGGAAGTAGCTCTAAACCCTCCCCTCTTTGCCTAAAACAATACCTACAGGCCCCTCTGACAGTCTGAAAGGAGGGCTGCCTTGTGGGAAAGGTACTCAAAAGTGTGCACATTTCTTCCACAGTATTAAGTGCCTTCTGCCAACAATTCCTAAGGTGCTGGTGCGGGGGAGCACTGGGGTTGCTGGGGAGGAGGTCAGGATAGCTCGGGGACACGTACAACGGAAAGCAACAGAGAGGTCTGTGTGTTTGGGAAGTGGCTGGGCTGGGCAGAATGCCAAATCCCAAACGACAGACTGAGCAATTTCTAAACCAAACTGAGAGAGGTAGAAGGGGATGGGCTAAAAGAGTTGGGGAAGCAGGAGCAAGGGGCAGAGAGGGCGGAGCAGAGGGGCAGCCCCCAGGTGTTCTGTTTTTATTTCCACATCTGAGGGCTGAGAGTCTGATTTGCTGCCTGTCCATTTCCACCGCTCATCGACTGTCCATAGCTCAGCATGCCATTGGCTCCACAGAAGTTCATCCCTGCCATCTGCTGGGTCATCTGAAAGGGAGAGAGGAGACTTTCAGACATCTGCTGGGATGTGGGCATGCAGCCAATTAGTGCAAAAGGCAGGGTAGGAGTCCTTCCGTCTGCGGATGGGGAGGAGGAGACAAAGGGAACTCTGTTGTGGCGAGTAACTGCCCTGAATGGCAACAGATCATTTCAAAGATTCCAGAGCTTGTAAATGGTCTCCTCAGAAGAGACACATGGATGGAGACTAACACTCAGGGAGGGAGCGCCGGAGTCCTGCAGCCAGTCCACAGAAAAGTGGCATGGGAAGTGGCTCTTTCTCCTCTCCAAGGCCCTCATCCTAAACAGAAGGAGCCTACTGTAACTTTGCCGAAGCCAACCCTGAGAGTAGGGAGAAGCCCCCACACCAGCGCTCCTGTCTTCTCTCCAGCAGAGAGTTATTACTGTCAACGAAAGTGCTTGTGCACACTCAAGAGAAAAAGAAAATGGACTGTTCAGGATGAACAAAGGCAGACAAAAAAAGGCCAACATGTCTCGAGTGCATGAGAAGGGAAACTGGGAGACTGGAGCCCCTGGAACAGGGCCTGCACGGGCTCGGGGCCTCTGTGGTTTGCTGTGAAAGACCAGCCTCTGGCTGGCAGTGAACGGAAGAAACAATTTATCAAAGCAAAATGCCTTAAATTTCCTATGCCTAGTACATTTTCTGCAGAAGCTTTTTTTTAGGAGGTCTATTTTTCTTCCACCAACTTTTAATTTCAAGCTTACAGAAAACTTGAAAGAAATAGCACAATGAAACCCATTAAGACGTCCCTTTCTTAAATTCACCAATTATCAGCCTTTTACCATATTCCCCGACCAATCTGCATGAACTTTAAAAAATGTTGATGGGCACTGAAAATTGTGGACATGGGACACTTCACCCTTGAAGTCAGGATGCATTTCATAAGAAACAACACTTTCCTGGAACCACAATACAATTAACATGCTCCAGAAATGTACGATTAATACAGCATTCTAACTCACATTTCATTTTCCTGTCTCTTTTCATCTAGAACGCTTCCCCTACCCCACTTTTCTTTCTTCCTGATATTGTTTTAAGAATCCAGCCACTTACTTAACAGAAAATCCCTCAGTTTGGATTTTATGTCACGTTTTCTCATGATCGGATCCGTTTTTGGCAAGAATTCTATGTCGGTGACATTGTGTGCTTCTTAAGTCTTTGTACAAGATGCCAGAAAGCACGTGATATTGATTTGTCCCATTGCTGGTGATTTTACACTGGGTCATTTGGCCTAGGTAGTAGCTATCATTGTGTTTTTCCACTATAATGAATACATAATCTGAAGCATATTTCTTTGAGAATATGTGAATACCCTATTTTTCTACAATTATTAGTGGTCATTCTTCAATACAGGCTTTCCCTCCCTCTACCCCACACCCAGTTAAAGATATGTATTACTATGGACGCGTGGGTTTTTTTCCTGCAGGGTTACAGTCTATTGGTGCCTTTCTCGGTTCAAGAGCACCCTCTTCTGTTGGCACAGTGAACTGAGCATTTTGCAGAGGCGAGGACGGTGCTTCTGAGCACGTGACCCTCTTTTCCACCTCCCGCACCACCAGGCCTCCAGAAGGCATGTCCTTCTCAGTCGTCCCATCCCTGGAGAAGCAGTGCTTTCTGGGGCTGCCATCTATAATCCTACATATTTCAGTCTCTTATTTTTGATTCTCCAAATAACCGGAGTCCTTATTTACCGGGTCTCAGACCTCCTTTCAACACGTCTCCAATCAGGGTTGGTCTTTCTCTTTCTAGGGGGTGATTTTGTCTGTCTTCTTTCACCTCTGGCCTCCTGTTCCCTCTCCTCTTTTCTTTTTCTTTTTTAGATTTTATTTATTTACTTTTAGAGAATGGGAGAGAGAGAGGGAGAGAAATATCATTGTGTGGTTGCCTCTCACGCGCCCCCAACTGAGGACCTGGCCCGCAACCAAGGCACGTGTCCTGACTGGGAATCAAACTGGCGACCCTTTGGTTCACAGGCCAGCACTCAATCCACTGAGCTACACCAGCCAGAGCTCTTTTTTAAATTTATTTATTGGTTTTAGAGAGAAAAAGTAAAAGGGGAGAGAGAGAGAGATCAGTTTGTCATCCCACTTACTTATGTATTCATTGGTTAATTCTTGAATGTTCCCTGACCCAGGATTGAACCCACAACTTTGGGATGATTCTCCAACCAGCTGAGCTACCCGGCCAGGGTCCCTCCCTTCTTTTCACAACCTTCTCCATGACGCCGGCTCTGCTGGCTTTAGGTGTTTATACGCCAGACGCCATGTAATCTGAAGTCTGCAGTACTCTGTCTACGAGACGTGGCAGCCACGGTTCTGGGGGGTTTTATTTGTTCTCCTTGTTTATCTGTATATTTTTCCTTTTGTTTTTGTTTTGATGAATGCACAGATTTGGATTTAGGCAGTTACCCTTATTCTACATGAACCCAGAACTCTGCAGAAAGCCTGACTTTGGAAGGAAAAATAGCAAACCTAAGCATAAGAATGTCTCTTGTGTTACCTCATCTGTTGGAAGGACACACACTGTGAGGGAGAGACACACAGTGAGATGGCCTTGAGGAAGTCTGAGAACACTTGTCCCAAGTGGAACAGGGTGGCTTACCTGAGTAAGGTTCCACTGCAGCTGCTGGGCTGGCTGAACCCCGTACACAGTCTGGGGCATGGCTGCCATGCCTGCCATGTAGCCAGCCTGCTGGGCGGGCATCATTCCGTTCGGCACACCCATCACTGGTGCCTGCATTCCGCCCATGTAGCCTGCAGGCATGGCCATGGGGGCAACCATCCCGGAGGCTCCTGGCTGAGCCACCATGCCTACTGGTGGGGGCATCATGCTCCCCATTATGCTGTTGGGGGGTGCAACCCCAGGGAAGCTGGGGTAGGCTGTGGGATATGCCATCTGAGCAGGAGCCATGAACATTGCTGTCAAGAAAACATATACAAATCCGTTAAGAAACCACACAAAGTCAGTCCAAAGTGTCACTGGCTACCCCTTTCCCTCTAGAATTTCTCAGGACCACTCAACTCAGGATGCTCTTTTACACAGCAAAACAGTGAGTTCGACAGAACCCCTGCAAGGCTGGCGACGGCTTACCACCAGTGGGTTTCTGGCCTCGCCACATCCCCTTTAAGGTCTAGATCCAGACCTAGAATCGGAGGTCACAAAGGTGTGACACTGGACCCCACAGAAGAATCTGCGGATACTTTGTGGCTTCATAAGAAATGTCGTTCATGCACGGGCTTGTTTGGAGTCCGATCCCACAGCAGCTGCCCCACCACAACGGGTAACTCCTGCACTTAGTCCTCGAGTCTCTGTCTGGCAGGTTGTCACACACCCACGGAATCTACCTTGGGCAGGCATCTGCGGCGTCTGGGACCCGTACAGTGAGAGGATGGAGTCTTTAGAGAGCTGCTTCTTGCTCGCTTCTTCGGATTTGCTCCCTGGCTCTGGAAACAGGTTCAGGTTCTCAGGGACAGAGCCGGCGCTCCCTGCAGTTGGCATGGAACCTACAACCTTGGGGCACAGAGCGCGGGGGGAGGATTCAGTGGTCCCCGGGGGGTCTCCGTAAGGACCTCCCTCATCTCTCTGCTGCTTCGAACTCTTGCGATAAGAATTCACAGCTGAAGTTAATAGCCTCCTGACATTTTTACCATACAAATATCTGAAAACACCTGATAGTTAAGCTCTGGAAAAATACTTTGTTCTTTAGCAAAACAATGTGATTTGCTAAAAAAATAAAATAAAATAAATTGTAAAAATAAAAGCAATCTACAAATGATGCAGCCAGAAATAACTTAATTTAGATACCAGAGTAGCCATTTACTTGTTGTATATCAAGAGATTAGTCAATAAATTTTCTGAACTAATGTTTCCTCATCTACAAAATATCCATTTTGGCCCTGGCTGGGGTGGCTCAGTGGACTGAGTGCGGGCCTATGAAGCAAAGGGTCGCTGGTTCGATTCCCAGTCGGGGCACATCCCTGGATCATGGGCCAGATCCCCAGTAGGGGGTGTGCAAGTTGATGTTTCTTACCCTCTCTTTCTCCTTCCATTTCTCTCTCTCTACAAATAAAATTAATAAAATCTTTTTAAAAATATCCATTTTGCAGGGTTGTGGTGAAGATTTCAAATTATAAATGAAATACACAAAATAATATACAAAAATACCTAACACTGTATATGGTTCATTGAAAATATTCCCCAAATAGTAGCCATCAAATGTTTCAAGTCTTTCACACCTACAAATTCTCTGGCAATAACTCAGGCTGAGGAGTTGACCTGAGATATCAGTTTTTACAATCTGACACCCCTCAGACAGAAGCCCGTTCAAAGGGCCCACTCTTTGGGGGCAGGAGAGAATGGCGTGAATAGTAAACTTAGTAACAGAGGCAACACAGTATTAAGGAAAGAATCAAGAACCAAGAAAACCAAAGTTCCGTTCCACCAAGGAAGCATGACTTGGATCCATGATTAAGTTATCAACATCACCCTTTTCAGAATCCCCTTTAAATCCCGAGGAGCCCACAAGACTCACCTGTCTGGAACCCGAAGAAGAGGGGGATGGAACAGAAGCCAGAAGATCTAAGTCCTTCTCTAGGGTATTGCTGGTCTTACTACTCACAATGGAGCAGGCCACAGGAGCATCTGGGAAGGAAGACTGAAGTTACAATGTAGCCCTGCTCATGAGGCCCCTGCCTTCCTTCTACTGTAGACACAAAGACCACTGAGAAGGCCCACATGCTCCATCATGGACCTGGAAATCTAGGCTTCTGGAATCATCTAGCTTGGATGGGGCATCCCAAGAGAGGCCTCACCCCCTGTTCTCAAGCGCACTCTGGAGAAGCGTGGAGAACCGGGCCCAGGGCAGCAGAAACCCAGGCCTGAAGGCTGCAACAGCACCGCAGCAAGAGGGCCGGCTGGCTCCTTCCTGGCTGAGGGACAAAGCCGTGTAGGGCTGAGTTTCAGAGAGAAATTAAAGATACAGAAATTAGAAGCCTAAGTAGCCAATAACCTAAATTCGCTGAAACGGACTGAAATAAAGACAACCATCAGCACGGTGAAAGGTAAAGAGTGAGCTACACTTCCAAAGGGTCATGGTTTCTAATGTGTGGAGAAAAGTGAGCACCAGGTAAGGGGGCGCACCTGAAAACAGAGAGGATGGGGGCAAGGCTCACAGCTGTGGGCGCAGTGAAAAGTGCTAACGTTCACTGAGCACGTAATACGTGCCAGGCCTGGGACTAAGAGATTCAGAGGCATCATCTCATTTCACCCTCCCAACGACACCCTTGCAGCGGAGACTCAGCATCGTCATGTAACAGTAAGTGGCCGGGCTGGGACTCTGGCTCCAGAGGCCGTACCCTTAACCACTGCCCTGCACTGCCACTCTGAAAACATCTTAGGAAACACTGTCTCAGCAAACTGCTCAGACGTAAAACAACAGGAGGAACACGAGAGAACACTCTTAGGGACAAGGACACAAACCGGAGACCCCCACCTCTACCTCACCTCTCCTCCCAGGACCAGAGAGAATTCATCAAAATGTGTAAGATTATGGGAGTGGAAAAGTCGAACCCTTACCAAGGCCCAGCAAATCCAGGACGGGCGCTGCGGATTTCGGGGAGCCTTTCCGAGGTAGCTGTGGGTCTTCTTTTTTCTGTGGCTGAGGTGGAAATATGTTATAGAAAAAAATGAGCAGGTGTTTTGAACCCTTTTTCCCCTCTCCACTGTAAAGCCACAGGTATTGCTGTGGTGTGGTTGCTGCTATTCAAAGAGACTTATCAACAAAACAAAACTCAGGAAGTGGCAGGTGAAAGAATCAGGGGGCGCAAGGGCATAACTCAAACCTGAAGTGAAAAACACAGATACCATCTGTGCTTGCCTGGCCTTCTGAAGAGACAGATCTGTCTGAAACCGAGACAGGCACAGATCAGGGGTCCGACGGAAGTAGCAGTTTTGGGTCCCAGGAAAAACAAGAATAAAGTAGGTGTCTGATGGCACAAAAGCCAAGAGCCAACAAATCTCCCAGTGACTAGAAAACCTTTAATACTAAAAGGGCGATCAGTCTGAAGATTACCGAATTCACCGCCGGAATCACTAGTGACTGTGTTCCTTAACAGTGTGATTCAGAACGATGACGTAACGTTCTTTTTAAGCAAACAGGAAAAAGTCCTCTCTCCTAAGATTCCAGGCTCTGATACGGGAGTGTCTACCATTACAGCCACCGTATGTCCTGTGGAAAGAGGACGGTGTCCGCTTCAACGTGACAGAGCAAGAATGCGAGAAGTGATTGTTTAGAACGGATCAGTATGGCCTGGCTTCTGGACTGCTCTTCACTGCAACGGGAAATGAGGTTCAGAAGGTCTAGCAAGAGAAGGACTAAAGTCGGGTAACATTCACTCAGAAGGTGTCGCACAGCCTTGATATTCTGGCATGGAACATGCCCTCTTGCTTAAATGGAACAGATGTGGTTCCCAGTCTGCCAACTGGCCGCAGAGAAGTGTTCCAGAGCAGATTAGGCCACAATCAGCAATCAGTGGAAGCGGCAGCAGGCGATCTAACCCCCGTGTGGAACCCCGCAGCCCCCGGGTCAGCGTGCCGCCAGCCCCACAGCAGCCTCCGCACATGTGAGCGTGCCTGAGGCCGCCCACACAGTACGGACACCTTCCCACTCACCATTTTCACTTTCTCAAAAACGACAGGCTCCACTTTTTTCTCTGGAGCTGGCTCGTTCCCTCTTTTCCACTTGTCATCTTTTTCTTTCTACAGTGATTTTACAAACAAGACAAAGAACACAGGCTCAATGGTGATTAATAGTTTGATAAGCTGTCATTCCAAATGTCCAAAGAGGAAACAAAAAAATCTCTGCTGAATCTGACGCAAAACTCTGACCAGCTTGGATGTGTCACGGTGCAGGGCCTGAGAACGGGCTCTGCCCGCCTCAGCCTCAGGCTCTACGAGGCATCTCGCAAACGTCTTGGGCACCTGCCCTCCCAGTTCTGTCTTATGACTCTTGAACTGTGCAGTTCGGGCTCTCTGCCGCGGTTCCAACACCTCACCCTCTGCTGCCCCTTTTCAGCTCAAGTTTAACTGGCTCATGCTTTGAGCCACCCCCACCCCACCCCCGAAATCTTGACATATATCAGTGAAACAAGTTCATGTTCAGACTAACAAATATCCTTTGTGATTTTATAAATTCAATCATAAGTTCTCTCAATCTTTGCCTCTTTTTTAAAAACTCAGGAAATGAACTGTATCTTCAAGCTTAATGATTAGGAAAACAAAAATCAAGGAAAAAGGCTGGAAAAAGGAGTAAAAGGATTAAAGTATCCTTTTCAGGGTGTCCTGAATGAGCAACCTGTATAAAGCCAAAAAGGCACATCAAAAATAAAATATCAGTCTCTGCCAGCTTTGTTACTTTCAGAGGTAGTTTCGTAATGCTTTCACAGATGTTATTGGTCACATTTTACTAATCAAATAAACATTTAAATGTTAACCAGAACCACAAAGTAAACTCAAGAACATAGGCATGTGAAAGGGAGTATAGCACACGTGTGAAAATGTTCAACCTTGCTAATGATCAAAAGTGCAAATTATAATGCTTTTCTTTTCTGAAAGACGTCAGTAATACCTAATGTTGGCAGAGATGATGTAAAACCCATACTCTGACACAATGCTGAGAAGACAGTATCAAACAGTGCAACTTCTGGGAAGTATGTTGGCAAAAGTATGAAAAATACTGAAACCCTCTGACCTAGATAATACCATATCTTCTAATATATTTTAAGAAAATAATCCAAAATATGAAAAAGCTCATATGCACCAAGAAATGCACCGCACAATTATTTATGGGAAGAAAAATGTAAATCGTGACTTTTATGCCACAGAAGGAAAATGGTAATAAGATAAGCTGTGATCTAAGTACGTCAAATAAAAAAACACTGAAATAGCCTTTTGGTAAACAGGAGGTGTCTCCTCCCTAAATGAAGACACGCAGTGAGTAAAACAGGATGTTCTCGGGAGGAGGCCCTGTCTTCATGCAGCAGTGCCTTCTCCTCCCATCTTTGGGATCACCTGGGATGCCCTCTTCTGATCTCGTCTAATGTCATGTCTTCAGGTCCAACGCACAGAGGTAGGCAAACAGACTATAGTATTCCAGAAGTGAAAGGAAGTGCATGTGTTTTGGTTCCAAATCCTTTTGGATAAGCCATCCAAGCCGTAGCTCTTCAGTGGGTTAATCTTCCTTGGAACAGTCGTTATGACCTCCAGGTCCTTTTTTCTATGACTCTGAGGTGAGAGTCCTTCATACTGGGATGAGAGGGCTTATCTTTACTTAACTGCAATACTACGTTGCACTTACTTGCCTGCGTGGTTAATACCTTTTCACACAACCTCAAAAGATCAATCTGGAGCTGATTCCAGTTCATTCCTTTTCATTCAACGTCAAAAGACCAATTTGCAGCTTTAAATTATCTGAAAGGGCTTAGAGCCCCATGTACACTTAATGATTTTATTAACCATCTCGTCCTCCACTAAAATAACTCACTAGGTGGATGACAGATAAACAGCACCTGTGCTAGAATTAGAGACTACCACACTTTCTACCCTTCGTGTGGCTCAGGAAAGTAGTCAATTACACCTAAGCGAATTTCCTGTAGAACCTCGTCCAAAGCTCTCTAGATAGTCCTATGTACTGGTTCTTTAGTTGTCAGTAACTGGGCTTGTATTCTTCTTCCAGAAACCATGTCACATTCCCTCCTGTATGGTATACTTGTCCTAGTTTTCATACATCATAGTCCAGATTCTAACCGCGTGCCTAGAACGGAAAGTGCACCTGGCCACTGATAGTCTCCTTCCAAGACCCTTCTCACGAAAAAGCTTCCCAGTGCAGTCAGTCCATGGACATACAGGAAATACATGCTGGTCAAAGTGAAGAAAACTGGTGATTTAATTGCATTTAATTTTGTTGACTTCATTTGTAGAAAAAATATTTATGTATGTTTGTATGTATGTATGAAGGGTTTGTGTGGCTGTGTATATATAAATAATACACATATAACATATATACACACATATACATATACATATAGATGTATATGTATACACTATTCTATTTGATCTCACATGCCCAGCACGTCTGAAGAAATAATTTGGAACTGGAAGTCACTAACACCCGAATACAAACCAAGACAAAGAATTCACTGATAGTTTGCCCCGTCCGCCCCGGAAGCCAATGATTTTTCCATGACATTTCATGGTCTTGATTCAGTAACTGGCTCTTCTCTACTTCTGCATTTTTTTTTTATTGATTATGCCATTACATTTGCTCTATTCCCCCCCTCCATTCCCCTCCACCCTGCATACCCCTCCCCCACCATTTCCCCCTTTAGTTCATGAACATGTGTCTCAAATTCTTTAGATTCTGTATTTCCCCTATTAATCTTACCCTCCCCCTATCTATTTTCCATCTACTGTCTATGCTACTTATTTTCTGTACCTTCTCCCCCCTTCTCCTCCTCCCACTCCCCTGTTGCTAACGCTCCATGAGATCTTCATTTCTATGGTTCTGCTCCTGATCTAGCTGTCCTCTTAGTTTGCTTTTGTTTTAGGTGTGGTTGTTAGTAACTGTGAGTTTGCTGTCCTTTCACTGTTCATCTTTTTTATCTTCTTTTTCTTAGGTAAGTCCCTTTAACATTTCACGTAATAAGGGCTTGGTGCTGATGAACTCCTTGAATTTGGTCTTATCTGAGAAGCACTTTATCTGTCCTTCCATTCTAAATGAAAACTTTGCTGGGTAGAGCAATCTTGGTTGTAGGTCTTTGGTTTTCATGACTTGGAATACTTCTTTCCAGCCCCTTCTTGCCTGTAAGGTCTCTTTTGAGAAATCAGCTGACAGTCTGATGGGAACTCCTTTGTAGGTGACTGTTCCCTTAGCTCTTGCTGCTTCTAGGATTCTCTCCTTCATTTTAATCTTGGCTAATGTAATGATGATGTGCTTGGTGTGTTCCTTCTTGGGTCCAACTTCTTTGGGACTCTCTGAGCTTCCTGGATTTCCTGGAAGTCTATTTCCTTTGCCAGTTTGGGGAAATTTTCCTTTATTATTTGTTCAAATAAGTTTTCCACTGGTGGCTGTGCCTTTCCCCCTTCTGGTACCCCTATAATTCGGATGTTGGAACGTTTAAAGATGTCCTGGAGGTTCCTAAGCTTTTCCTCATTTTTCTGAATTCTTATTTCTTCATTCTTTTCTGTTTGATCATTTTTTCCTTCCTTGTGGTCCACTCCCTTGATTTGAGTCCCAATTTTCTTTCCATTACTATTGGTTTCCTTTGTATTACCATTCATTTCAATTAGTTTAGCTTCCATATGTTTCTCTAATTTGTGACTAAAATCAACCAGTTCTGTAAGGATCCTGATAACCAGTGTTTTGAACTGTGCATCTGAAAGACTGGCTATTTCTTCATCGCATAGATCTATGGGTTCTGGGGCTCTGAGTTGTCCTAGAGCCATTTTTGGTCTATTCGTGCCGTTAAGTATTCGGAGCGAAGCCTTAGTTGTTTACCAGGACCGGGCGACCCAGGTCGCTGGTTTGTGATGCTGTGTGTGGGGGCGTGGTCAGAGAGGGAGCAATGGCGGTCCTCTCCGCTAGCCCAGCCCGTCCAGTCACACCATTCGCCCTGGGCTTGTTTATCCGATCGGAATTGTGCGAGCCTGCTGCCCCGTGCAGGTTTCCCTTCTCACTGGTTTATCCGCACGCAGATGCGCGTGACTGACCGAGACAGCCCCCCCCCTCCCCGCGCCTCTTCCCTGTGCGCTCCGGTAGCCAGCCCGCGATCAGCGCCACACACCACCTGTTCGGGGATTTTTTCTTGCCAACCTGCTCCGCTGCTGGTTTCGCTTCTCTTACTGGTTTAGCTGAGTATTTAGTTGTCTTTGGACTCTGTATTTTCGATTTTCCGTGTGGCTTGGTTGTGATTGTTGTGAAAAATAGTTGTTCTTAGATTTGGTTGTGCACAGAGGCAAGGTGGTTCCTCCACCTACGTATCCATCTTGGCGGAAGTCCTACTTCTGCATTTTTTAAAATTCTTGTTCAGTTACAGTTGTCCTCACTTTTCCCATTACTCTCCCCTGTTCTCCCCTCCCCCATCTTCCACATTCAATCCCCCCGCCCCGCTGCTGTCTGTGTCCAGGGTCTTTTATGCATGTTCCTGGACACTTCCCCTTCTCTGCCCCATTGTCCCCCACCCCCTCCCTTCTGGTCACTGTCAGTTCTTTATTCCATGTCTCTGTTTCTATTTTGCTCACATGTTTGTTTAGTCACTTCTGTATTTTTTAAATGGTAGTTGTTTTAAGATTTTATTAATTTATTTTCAGAGAGAGTGTAGGGAGGGAGAGAAACGTCAGTGTGTAGGGGAAACATCAATCAGTTGGCTCTCACACGCCCCCAGCTGGGGACCTGGCCTGGAACCCAGGCCTGTGCCCTGACTGGGAATCAAACCAGCAACCTTTGGGTTCGCAGGCTGGCGCTCATTCCACTGAGCCATACCAGCCAGGGTTAAATGATAGTTTTGGAGCATGCTGGTAGGTGTCCTTCAAATTCTTACTTATTATAAAAAACTACTTATTATAAACAAAACTTAAAAGATTTACAACCAACCCTAAGGGCATTGATGTCCAGACTTCGGTCCATGTATTTCTTCTTCTCATATTTATCTCGAATAAATCCCTCAACAGCTCTGCAAAAAGCTCATTAAGGATAAATCAAACCAGTCTTTCCCGCAGGATGACTACGAAAGGTCAGCCTGTATCCCCCGGAACGTCATTTTCTCTCTGCCTCCTGCCTGGTTTCCCCACGCGGCCCCTGTCTCGCCTCACGCAGCTTCCCTGACCAAAACCGTGAGATGCCTCCTTCGTGGTTACTGCAGGGAACCCTGTTTCCTGAGTTTCCTTTGGAGGGCTGACAGCCACAGGTGGGATTAAGTTTCCTGTTAACAGCAGAGGAGCCTGTAGCTGTTCTAGAATACAGATAAAGCAGCAGTCAATTACCTATTTTAGAGCCCTTACGTCAACAGGCCTCAGACAAAGGTAACTGAGTGGCCTTTAAAAATATAGACGCTTGCGTCCCATGGCCAGATTCTAATCAGTGGGTCTTCTTTCTGCAGGGCCCCAAATCTGCACGGTAACAGGTGCCGCCTGCACCAACCAAATGTGAACTCTAACAAGATGGCCAACAAACCACATTTTGAGAAGCATGGCCTTTAGGGGGTTTGGTTTCGTGAACTAGGTGCTAGCCCATGTGGAGGGCGTGGGGGAAAGTTATTAAATGGCCAACGACAGTTCATTCTTCCACATAAAAAGGCCCTAAAAGTGGCTGGTAGTTTTGCTGATTCAATACAACATCTTATACTATTTTTACCACGTGAAACTGCCATCCTGACATAGAAAGCATACATATGCTTTTTGTGGGTCTTGGTTCAGGAGAGAGAGAAAACGTAACTATGACTAATCCTCGTAGATCAGATCTGACTTTGCCCAGACGAATCATGGGTCTCGAGTCTATGTGACTCTCCCAAATCACCAAAATACCACTCAGGCTTCTAAGTTGCTCCAGAAAAGATACGGGTCTATCTGAGGTCGCCGGAAGGTCTCAGGAAGGTAGGCTTCATAAAGTCGGTTGGCCTTCCCATTCCCCATCTCCTGCATGCACTGCAATCAAAGAGATGTGGAAACGTGGAATGTCAGATCAGGGAAGAACTGAAAATCTTCTGATTCTCATGATTCTCTCTACTTTGCCCCCAACCATCCGCCCCCACAATTGTCTTTCCCAACCCCAACCCCCATGAGTTTCAACCTCTCATTGAAAGATCTGACAAGATATATTTAATTCAGTCATAATCCAAGATCCCATCTGAAAGCCCGAGACACACAGCTACCCATCGAAACGTCTACTGGGCGGCAATAATCAGTGCCTCATCGGGCCTGCAACACACAGGCAGTAAACACGTTCGGAATTTATACTCCTGATTAACCTGTTCAGCTTAATTACCAACAAATGTGTTGTAACTGGGCTTTTTATTTTCTTTTATTTTAGAGGGGATGGGAGGGAGAGACACGGACATGACAGAGAGACATGGACTGGCTGCCTTCCACACCCGCACCGACTGAGGAGGGAACCTGCAGCCCAGGCGTGTGCCCCGACCAAGCGTCACACCGGCAATGGCTTGTGTTGTGGGATGACACCCGGCCAACTGAGCCACACGGGCCAGGGCTCAACTAGGCTTTTGAAATAGACTCCTTAACACTTGTGAGAGATAAATCCCAAGAACTTATAAAACCGTCAAATTCCCAAATGCTCCAAGGCACGTAACTTCTTTCATGAGATACAGGAAAGGGAACTGACAAATACTGATACAGCTCAATGTTTAGGCCTTTAATAAATCTATAAAGACAGCCTAAAGCATTTCTAAAGCCACGGCCTGGATAAGAATAACCTTTTATTTCCACTATCAACTTTGTCAACAGGTTTTCTTTGGAGCCACTCTTCCCCCCTCAGAAAAAAGAAAGTTGTTTTTAATTAATTACTGTGAGAAGTTTCAGTGCAGGAAGAGAACCGAGAACAACGAGGCCACATCCAGGTGCCGATGTGAAGCCAGCTGGACTCGCTAACCCCAGGTCTCGCTCCCAGCCCACCAACCTAACAGCAAGCAAGGGCACATGAACATCTGAGCAATAAAATGTCACAAGTCTGCGAGTTAGAGGGGTCTTTTTTGTTTTGTTTTTAGAGAACATCTAAAACTACAAATGTTAGATCTGCAAATGCCAAGAGTCTTAGAAAACAATCCAAAGATCCCCCTATCCACCCTCCTGGATGTATGAGGTCCAAGACCATCGGCTATTTGCATTTCAAAGTAAGTAAAATAAAGGTAGAATAATTTGTATTTTAAAGAGTAAAATTAAAAATTTCTCTATTAAGGTATGAGAATTTGACTTGTTTGATAACTAAACTTTCCTGTATCTTCACCTTTGTGCCCAGTTTGAAGTTCATCCGGAACTACTGTAACTCACTCTTGGGTTGCAATAAGTACCTGAATCTGTTCTTGAGTCCACTGGTCAAGGTTAACTGACTTTACCCTGGATATGTGCACCCCCAGATTCCTGTGGATTCCAGCACATCGAATGCAGATGAACACACCAATGTTCCAGGAGGCCCATCGCGGCCCTGTGAAGGTCAGAAGCAGGACAGTAAAGTACAAATTAAAACAATGTTCCAGGCCCAAGCTGTAATATTTAGATTATCAAACATTTCTGCTACAATGTAAGTGAAAGAATTGTTACTACAATCGCCTCTTTATTGGTTTTGTTCATTCCTCTATGGGTCAGCATTTTTTGTTGTTTTTAATTTTTTTAACTGTACCATACAGTGGTTTTTAGTATACAGGGTGAGATAAACGTAGGTTTACATAGGTTTACAGTTGTTCATATGAAAAATAGAATAATTAATAAATAAAAATACAAGAATAAACTGCTTCATACACCCACAACTGCAAAACCACTTTTGCACCACCCTGTATTCACACACTTGTGCAACCGTCACCACTATCTAATTTCAGAACATTTGCATCACCCCCAAAAGAAATCTCAAACCCGTAAGCGAGCACGCCCCATTCCTCCCCACCCCCACCCAGGCCCTGGCGACCGTAAATTTAGTTTCTGTCTGTGTGGACTTAACATGTCATATACATGGAATTATGCGTCATGTGGACATTGTTGTGTGGAGTAGCTTTTCACAGTGTCTAATGATATTCGCGTTGAAATGCAGATGTTGTAATATTGTTGCTTACACACAGAAAAACTCTAGGAGAACAGGGCAAAGTCATGTCGCGCTGTACTCGGTCCTACATGAACAGCCTCCCTAGAGCAACTTTTCCTGCTAGGAAAAAAGATACAGTCATGCCATGCCAGCCCGAGGTTCGACCTGAAATTTAAAACTTTGTTTATCCTCTTCTCCCTACCAGGCCTATAAAATATGCATCCAGATGAACTTAATAGGAGAACCTTGGGCTGATGTCCCTGTTTTACCCAACTACAGAATCATCTAGATCACAGGTGGCAAACGCAAGGCCCATGGGCCGAATCCTGCCCTCCACCTTGGTTTGTCCGGCCCAGCACCTTGTTTCTACCCCGCGTGGCCCCCGGTGACAATGAGTCTGACACCCCTGACCTAGAACTGCCACATAAAGATGCTTACTGAAATAAAAGAAGTCTTGGGTAGGTATTTTAATAAAAAATGGTTACATAATCTCTCATTCCCTGCTAACTTTGCTCACCCTAATAATCACTCTGGAAAATTATCAAACTTGTCTTCATAATTTTTATACAGGAAAAAGCAACTTTTATATGACACCTGGCGAAGACTTATTGAAAAATCACTAATATTTCCTTCTCCATCATTCCACTAGGCAGAAATCTACCACACAAAATAAGCATGATATCGAAGTTAGCAGTTACAACAAAGAGGTGAAAAGACACAAACTGATCTTCTACAGACAGAAACAGGACCTTGTGTTCTGAGTAACTAAGGGTAAAAGGCCGGACACAGACAATTGTTCGATTGGTCTGTGGTTTCAGACAGCAGTTTAATAGCGGAATGCTAGAATCATATGCCAGCCTCTACTCAGAAATTTGAATCCACAGTTATTATAAGTTAGAATGTAATTTTTTGACAAAGATCTCACTCAGACACTGTGGCAAGTACTACAAACCCAGAAGGCTCAAGTCCTCCTCACAACCACCAGGTGGTGGGCTCCGCCTGAAACTTCATCCCAGTACTTCCTCACCGCTATTACCCCAACAGACTCCGATTCATCTTCTAAACAGACCTTCAATCCCTTTTGAGTCCTCGACAGAGTTGCATAGTCCTGCTGTATAGCTAGTCACACACAAATGATTCACACACTTCTTTCAGTGACGGGGAGTCACATAAACACAAAGCGAAAAACTCAAACAGATATGAATGAAATTTCACAGGAGGCTGTGTGTCTATTTTAGGTTGCAGCTTTCATAAAGGAATTCAGATATGATCTAAGTTATATAGCATTAAAAATGGGAGTAAAAGTTAATAGCTCAGGTTTTTTACCATTTTCCATTTGTTCTAGATTCTAGAACTCATGATAAAATAGTTAAAATATATTTGTTTGGGAACAAAACCAGAAGCCAAAAACACTAATTAAAAGTAAGCTGTGGCACACGGGGAATACAGTCAGTAATGCAATGCTGTAATAGCTACATATTACCAGGTAAGGTCTACACACATACAACCACGTGCAGTGTCAGAGGGGCACCACAATTATCGGGGTGATCGCTTCCTAAGTTACATAAATGTTTAACCACTATGCTGTACATCTGAAACTAATATCATATTGAATGCCAACTGTGATTGAAAGAAATTATCTTTTATTTTTAAGAGTTAAATTAAAAAGTCAGCTAGGGGGTGTGGGTGACGCTGTTGGCTTCCTGGACAAGGCGATCCCCTGTCCTCTAAGCCACCAACACAAGTGCGGACCTTCTCCAGACCCCATTCCAGAGACTCTGCCTCTGAGGGACAAGAGCTGATACTCTGGAGCTACTAACAAGGCCGCAGTGCAGAAACACAGGCAGTAATACTTTCAGGGAAAATCAGGAGAGCCTCCTCTGCCCCCTCCCACGCCCCTCCTACGACCTTTCCCCAGGGCAACAGTGATAATTCTATCCTGGGTACTCAGGCTCCTTCAGTTCTAAGCCACTAGATTTATCAGTCCATAGCTGCGCGTTCCATAAAAGGTTCTGAAATTGGAGAAGAAAAAATAAGAAACAAAAGTTACTTATATGGATGAAAATGTGGGAAAATTGTGGCATTATTAAAATTACAGTCTTTCCCTGGCTGGTGTAGCTTAGTGGATTGAGCACGGGCCTGTGAAGCAAAGGGTCACCAGTCGGATTCCCAGTCAGGGCACATGCCTGGGTTGTGGGCCAGGCCCCCAGTAGGGGGCGCATGACAGGCAACCACATGTTGTTGTTTCTCTCCCTCTTTCTCTCTCCCTTCCCCTCTCTCTAAAAATAAATATTTTAGAAAATAAAAGTACAATCTTTGCACCAGACAAAACTTAAATTTGTATGTCAGCTCCATCAATGATTAGCTGTATGACCTTCAGAGAGATACTTAAACTTCCCAAAATCTCGGTTCCCTCATTTATAAAATGTATATAATATCTACCTCACAGTGCTTAGAATGTAGAGGACAGCGGTATCAAATGAGATTTCCAGAACCTATTTCCAGTTCACCCTTCTCATTGATAAGGTCTGGTTAATTCGTTCATGTGTGTATGCCACCACTGTATACAACTCTGGAGAATGCTTCTTGTTAGACAGGAATGAGTCCCGGTCCTAAAATGTCAGAACAAAAGTTGACTGACTGAATAGAAGAAGGAATTGAACCTGAGTAGTAGGAAGGATCCAACTTCAAAGTCTTCTAGAAACATAAAATTTGAAGCAGCTTGCTTTACCTCCCTCAAAATATTCCCTGAAATTGCACCCCCCAGCTGTCTCCCTTCTCTGCTACCAAGGCCACGCTGCCCCTGTGCCCACACATGCCTTTGCTGAGCTACCCAGGAGCGCCCAGAGCTGTCAGCCCGACATGCTTGGATTCCACAGCACCTGGCACTGCTGCTACAGGGCGAGACAACTTAAACCTGGTGCACTTGCAAAGATAAACCAACTGTCCAGTACACATCAGTCACGGCAGCCAGGAGAAAATTATAAAAGATACCACTTTGAAGCTGAAAATACTGACTCTGAGAGGCAATATTCTGAACACTTTTGAAAGGAGCAGATGGAAAAGAGGATGATATTAATTGGTAGTGATAAGCACAACACAAGAACAAGGTCATGGCTCAGGAAGCATAAGCAATATTAAAATTAACATATAAGCCCTGGCTGGTGTGGCTCAGTGGATTGCGTGCTGGCCTGCAAACCAAAGCATTACTGGTTTGATTCCCAGTCAGGGCACATGCCTGGGTTGTGGGCCAGGTCCCCAGTTGGGGGCACGTGAGAGGCAACCACACATTGATGTTTCTCTCTCCTTCTCTCTCTCTCCTTTCCCCTCTCTCTAAAAATAAATAATAAAATCTTTAAAAAAATTAACATATAATTGCAGTGATACTGCCATAAGGAATCAGTGAAAATAAAGAAAACATATGGATGCAGTGCATGAATTAAGACCGTAGTAAGTACTGGCACCAGGGAAACCTGGGCTTACACTGACAAACACACTGGACTTCCACTTTGATGTCTCTCTAGGGCTTATAACCCTATTTGTAAAATGGAAAGCACATAAGTAATATCCAATTTACATTCAAATTCTGGGCAGCTTCTGCTGTCCGGTAACTTCTGGTGCTCTGCTGCAAATTTCTCTTGCTGCTGAAACTTCCCCCACAACTAGAGCTGCTAGGCTTAGAAGGATTCTGGGCTTGAGAAGTCAGCAGAGAGAAGAACTAGAGAGTTACAGGTAGAGCATAAAGCTACTACTATCATAATTACAACTCGGTGGCTTCTAACCTCTGGAGCTCCAAATGAATAAATGTTGAGGAAAAAAATGAGATATTTTAAAAATCAATGTCCATATGTAGACTTGCTGGCCTCATGGAGATGCTGAAAAGTTCTTCGAAGGTCAAGGGTGGGAGAGAAAAATCTCTTCCATCTTCCATTCAAGCCCTGTTGAATTTACCTTGGAAACTTTCCCAAAATCTATCCATGTCTACCTAGACCTCTCATCTCTCATCCATAACCAGTCATTCTTTTAATATTATTTGTGTACCTACTATGTGTCAAGCACTCTGTGTGCTATTTATTATAGATAAAAGGCAGAGACAATAAAGATGAGATTCCCCACGCAAAGAGCTCATGGACTAACAACTAGCTGGTCTCCAGACTCCCACCAGGATCTTCCTAAAACTGAAATCTGTACGGCTCAGGTCTCCAAATACAAACCTTTCATGCAGTCTTGTGTATAAAGGTGAAAATGCAAACAGGCACAAATTTTCTAGGCATATCACAAACTGTGTTCTCTATCTCTTGCTACAAAACCTGCTCTTCCTCTATTTTTCTCTATCTTAATGAAGTCCACCTCCAACCACTCAGATGCATCGGTCAGAAACGTGTAAATCATCTTTGATTCTTCTCTCC